GCGGCCAGCAAAGGACCAGCGTCCAGCGGAATCTGGAACTGCGCAGCCCCGAGCACGAACAGTTCCCGCCAACTCTCCTCCAGCAGCAGGACCTGGTCCCGGAATGGCAACGTCACAAAGGCTGGCACCGTCTTGGCCCACTTGACGCTCATGAACAGGAGACGCGCGGCTGCCTCACAGATGGCTTCCGGATTACTGGCGTAGCCTTGGAGAACTTCGTGTGGGTACTGAGGAGGGTGATAGATACATTTTTATTTATTTATTTATCTTTCTTTTTTTTCCTTTTTTTCTTTCTTTTTTTCTTTCTTTTTTCTTTCTTTCTTTATTCGATCGCTTCAGGTTTACTGACGTACGTAGCCTTAGAGTATTCATGTATTTATTCATGTATTTATTTTATGTTTTTATATATTTATATATTTATTCATTTAATTAGAAAATCGCCTCTTGGTTACTGACGTAGCCTAGAACAACTGAGAATAGTGGTTTATTTATTTATTCATTTATTCGTTTATTTATGTATTTATGTATTTATTTATTTATTTGTTTGTTTACAAAATCGCATCTGGGTTACTGGCTTAGCTTTGGAGAACTTCGTGTGGGTACTGGGAATATTTATTTATTTATGTATTTATTTATTTATCTAAAATTATTTATTTATTTATCTATTTATTCGTTCGTTCGTTAATTAATTAATTAATTAAACTTATTTGCTCATTTATAAATTTTTATTGGCTCATGTATTAATATATTTGTTTTCTCAAATTTCATATTCATTGTTCTATTTATAAAATCATTGAGTCATCCATTTTAAAAAATAAAAAAATATGGATCTTGACTTTACATTTTTGTTTAAGTTTATAATACTTTCTTCTATTTATGAGTTTGTTGTTTTTGTTGATTGCTTTTCACACACATATTATTTACATATCTATTCAGTTACTGCTTCATTTACATACGCAAGATTGTGTTATTTTCCTTTCTGTATTTTGATTTCTTCCTCTCGTTCAACGTGTTGAAATGTAGGCCTGTGTTCTTACTCTTGTAATTTTCGTTTTTGTCTGTTTTTAAATAAACACATGCAGTTAACTTAATCAACAATGGTAACTTTATCTTTCTTCAGGGACAATTATACTCCTAAACTGCCTATCGATCCACTTTCTTTTTACCTCAAGTTATAATCACATGGACAAGCGGCTAACCCAGATTTCGGGGGTTTCCAGAAATCTTCACCTACACCAAAAGTAAGCATTTCCCTAGGGCCTACCTATATAAGAAGTTTGGTTTCAGTGGTGTGTATATTTGTTTGGTTATAGAGAAAACTCTCCTTGTCTTTTAAAGAAATTGAACAAAGTACCTAAAACTTTACCTTCGATTTTCTCAAAAGGGCATTTTTCGGGATAGCCCCCTTGAGCTTAAAAGCGGACAGTTAACTTGGAACATCGCTCACCTTAGGCAGTGGGTGCATGAGCACGCCGGCAGGGGGCGTGGCCACAGAAGTGGGCGGTTCCACCGCGGAGACCGTCACGCCATCACCGACCTGCTCGTAGCCCACGAAGGAGGGGAAGAAGGGAGGTCTGTGGAGGCGGAGGAGGGGAAGGATGGAGAGAGGGTGAGTATTATTATTAATAATAATGATAACACTATTGATAATGATAATAGATATAGTACTACTACTACTACTACTACTACTACTACTACTACTACTACTACTACTACTACTACTACTACTACTACTACTACTACTACTACTACTACTACTACTACTACTACTACTACTACTACTACTACTACTACTACTACTACTACTACTACTACTACTACTACTACTACTACTACTACTACTACTACTAATAATAATAATAATAACAGTAATGATGATGATGATGATGATGATAATAATAATAATAATAATAATAATAATAATAATAATAATAATAATAATAATAATAATAATAATAATAATAATAATAATAATAATAATGATAATAATAATATCACAGTGTGGGAGGTTCGTAAATTTCGTGGGCGTGTACATATTCAAAGAGAAGGAGAGTATTGACGCAAGATTGTGGGGAGGTGGTAGATCTTGGGGCATGTACGTGTTTGGGTACGTGCCTACTTGAAACATAACATGTGTGAATGCGAGCTATAGTTTGTATCTTTTCTGATAGTCTTAATCTTGTTCGCCTGGTTGGCTGCAACTACAAAATTACACGCCGCTTTTATTCGGCCCTGGAGATGGGAGCAGGGGAGGAAGGGGGTGGGTTGGGAGGGCGGGTGAAGAATAATACTCAAGTTGTATGAGGGAAGGATGATAATTATGTTTTCTCTCTCATCACCAGTCAATGCAACTGTGTTAATGGCTATTTCAAATTTTTTTCGCACCCCCCCCCCCCACACACACCCCCCCCAAACCAATTCCCTCAATGTAACAAACGGAATGCAACTAAATACCTCACAATGTGGGTGTGAAAAACAGACTTTCAGAATTTCTTTTCTCAGGGTTTTTGAAGGAAAATTCAGACATGATAGGGATGCACCATGTCCTTTGCCGGCTTTTGGACAGCAGAAGTGGATAATGGTGTGACATCGACATCGTTAAATATTTGTTCATTATCAAACACCGATTAAAAAGCCCTTCTTAAAAAATTGAAGCGCGAAAGAATTAAGAACACAAGCAGATACTGAGAGAAAAGAGAAGATTATCCCCCGTAAACGTTTCAAGCGGAGACATCTGCGAAGTACAATATTGCCGAGTAGAAATACGAAAAGTGTTGCGAAGTACAAATGCTGGGGTGTATCAGCGCGATCAGTGCAATTTGCTCCCGGAACCTGCGTCTATAGGGAAGGCAACGCCTACAGCCAGCAAAGTAATAATTATACTGGTGCGTGCATACCACTTGAGAAGCCCCTCGGTTGCTTTCACAAAGGTGTTAAAATTCTTCCCATGGAGGGCAGGCCGTGTCTTTGAGCCCCTGTTTGTTACTTAATTGCTCTCCACACTTGAATGCTTTGCTCCTCTCTTTCTCCTTCTTTCACACCTTCTGGGGTTCTCATTACAACATGCAAAGAGACTCGGGATAAACATTTATTCCTTGGACGCTCTATAACCGTGCGAACGTTTCATTTCATAAAGTGTGAAGGATCTCTAATCCAAGCTACAGCTCTTGGAAATGGAAGAATAAATATTTGTGAGAGTTTTTTTTTTCAAGAACTGTCGGGGTGAGAAAAAAAGTGAGGGAAGACCGGATGGGGTCTCCACAAAGATACAGTGAAGAGAGGCGTTGGAAGAAAAAAATCTTCAATTAATATCTCCCCCCCCCCCACGCATGAGTGGTGGATTGTTAGCCATTCTTACACTGTCCCAGCGGTGGATATATTCTCTCCACCCCTCCCACCCTCCCATCCAATCCGGGGGACTCTTTAGTGCTCTACGGAAATAGCACCACACACACACACACACACACACACACACACACACACACACACACACACACGCACACATACACACACACACAAATTGAATTTAATTATAATTTGCATATTTTATAGTGTGTGTATTGTTGCCTGTCTTTTTAAGTCTCAGAGAAAGAAAAAATATAAAAAACCCTGAAAAATCCGGACAAATGACGGAGTCTCCAAGCGTGCGTGGTGGCGAATGATCAGAACGGGCGTCTTCATTAATGGGCAACGTTCTTGCACACCTTACTGAGAAATGTTTTCATCCTTCTTTCAGATCAATACCATCCAAAAATGGTCGCTTTTAAGGACAAGCCGGCTAACCCAGATTTCGGGGGTTTCCAGAATTCTTGACCTATACCAAAGGAGGGTACTGCCCTACCTGTAGGAGAAGTTTGGTTTCATTGGTTTGTATACATGTATTTGTTTGGTTATAGAGAGAACTCTCCATTGCCTTTTAAAGAAACTGAACAAGGGTCCAAAAACTTTACCTTCGATTTTCTCAAACAGCATTTTTTTGGGATAGCCCCCTTGTGCTTAAAAGTGACCAGATTATCTCTCCTTGGTTCATCAGCCTTATGGCGTAGAAATGAAATGTCTTAGAAAAACGTTAAACCTAACGATGAGGGGCAGACAGAGAAATGAAGACACCAGACAACAAGAGTGCATAGAATCGAGCATGAAATACACCGAAGGACAACACATAACGTGTTTTGGGACACCTTCAAGGAATGTGGCCCCGACAGCCAGCCTCAAAAAGCTTTCAACAAGCGATTCGATGGTTTCAAGGCAAAAGAGGAAAGCTAAGAAAAACATGAAGCAAAGGAGTCAAAATCAAAGCGACTCCAAAGATCAAGTCCTAATTCCTTACAGTTACAAAGGTCATATCTCACAATATGGGTGTGAAAAAGGCATAATGTATTCAATATTTTATTTATTTTCGAGAGGAACTTTCATTGAAAGTTTGTAAAGTTACTAAGGGTTTTGACTATAGTTTCCTCATAATTTTGTTACTCATGTAATTCCGATTACAATAAACTTTTGAAATGTTTTTGACAGTGTTCGCGCTCGCTAATATTCTGCTATACATGCTCCCATGCACACAACAAACGAGAACATAACTATTACATTATTATTACATTATGTTTAAAACGCTCATCTGTCCACGTCATTAACGTTCTCTCCCTCACCCCCCTCTCTCTCTC